ATGCAGATCCAAGCAGTGCAGCTTTTTGCATTTGACTGATGGTTTTAAATGTAATTCCAGTGCTTTTGGAATAGCACCCAGTGTGCCAATTACCACTGGAATTACCACTGCTGGTTTGTGCCATAGTCGTTGAATTTCGATTTTTAAGTTATTATTATTATTATTATTAACATTACTGGGGCATAGTACTAATCAGAAGGAGACACAATATTTATACAATTCAGCATAATAAAATGAGTTCATAACTTTAACAGCCAACCCTATACAACTAGCATTTATAACACACATCAAACTCAACAGTCATAAATATTTAAAAGAAAACCCCATGAAACAGCAGAGCACACATATATTCATGATTAATATAAAGCAAATATTAACCTGAAAAACTACCAACTTCATTAGAGGAGAGTACAACCAGCCCCATTCTAATATACTAGTCAAAGAAAAAAAATTATTTTTTAAAGGTCATATGGAGAGAGTTGATCCCACAGCCACAGGACAATATCCCAGACATCAGGAAACCTGGAGATGGGGATGGAGAAGAGAGAGAATACCTTGCCCAGGGTCACATAAGGGGCAAATAGGACTGTAGGGAGAAATATGGGTCAACAGATCAAGGAACGTTGTAACCAAAGAGCTGTAAACACAAGCTCCGCGGCGGCAGGGGCTCTAAACTGGATTGTGCCTTTACGGCCTCTCCGAGGTAGCGGATCCAGGAGAGCTCCTTGGTTTACCAAGGAAACTAATCAAGAAGAGAAGCAACCTAGAACTAAGGAGAAATTTCCTGATAGTCGGAACAATTAAAGAGCAATTAAAGTGGAAGAACTTGCCTCCAGAAGGTGTGGATGCTCCAACACTGGAGGTTTTTAAGAAGATGTTGGATAACCATTTGTCTGAAGTTGTGTACGGTTTCCTGCCTTGGCAGGGGGTTGGACTAGAAGACCTCCAAGGTCTCTTCCAACTCTGTTATCCCATTCTAAATATAGCAAAGTAGTGGTGGTTTCTGGAAAAGCAGAGCAAAGAAGATTTTGGGCCAAAAGAAGCAGCACCAATGGAAAGCATTGGGACTTGGGTCAGCAGGATATTGTTTTGAGCTGAATGGATGACCTGTCTGATTCACATGGATCAAGGAGCTCATTAAATAACGAGAATAAGGAATCCATTGGACAGGGCCGCTCTCTCAAGAACTTGGTCTAAAAAAAGAAAGCAGACACACAGAAAGATGACTAAGGCACAAAGAGCTAGTGCCCAAGGAAAAGTTATTCGGAAGAGAACTAGACAGTCTGTCTGAGAAACTGCCAGAGGGTAAAGAACAATTCTCCAGGCAGATAATATATGGCAGGAAAAGAGGCTTAGCCAGGGAGCAGGTATGTGGGGGTTGTGGCCCAGCAGCGGCCAGTGGAGCTGGTAGCAGATTCGGACAGTGAGGAGGTTGGGGAGGAACATGGGCCAGTCCTG